ACTACGTTATAAACGGCAACGAGGGTGGAAGTGGTGTGTTGGCTAGTTGCGCCGTTACCACGCACAACTAGCCAAAGATCAAACCCCAGATCACACGCAGGATATGGTCAACTAAGCCTTCTCCTTCTGATCGCCTAATTGCTAGAAATGTCCGGGAAAAACACCGATTTGTACATCACATTACCCCTGCGCTCTTTTTAGGTCGTACTGAAATGTCACTACGGTCCTGGACAAAAATAGAATGGGTGGCCCTTCCCGAACTGAAACTTATCAACGCCGAGTTCCTCGTCCTTTTTTAATAGCCCACAAATGGAACTTGAATACCACTCGATAGTTTAGGCTACCACGTTGAAAAGAGCAAGAGAATACCTTCAACTGAGCGAAACTAGTTCTATTCTCTGGAGGTCCTAATTATTCACGTCTAGCTCATCTTGTGCATTTTCGCAGAAATCAAAAAAAATGTTTCTTATAACTCTTCCTTCTAAGGGCCGCGTTCATAGTTCGCGACTCGGGAGATTAGGATAGTAGGCGACAGGATATTAGGATAGTAGTAGAGTAGGAGATTGCGCTGACAAGATTGGATACGTATCGATTGAAATCGCTGGAGAGTAGTAGATTGGGCGACTTCAAGCGAATAGATCAATACATATCTAATCTTGTCAGCGCACTATCCTAATCTCCTACTCTACTACTATCCTACTATCGTAATATCGCAATCTACTACTCTCCAGGCGATTTCAATCGATACGTATCTAATCTTGTCAGCGCAATCTCCTACTCTACTACTATCCTAATCTACTACTATCCTAATCTCCCCGTCAATACATATGTTTTTCATTGTCGCGTACTATCCTAATCTCCGGAGTCGCGAACTATGAACGCGGCCTAACTCTACTGAGGATCAGAACGATATAGCCAAATGCCAAAGCGACTGACAGCACAACACAATTAAAACTGTCAAAACTTCGTCAACAATTCAATCGCAAAATTATTCAAACCCACTTTATATTAGTTTTCAGAAGAGCACCATGGACAACCTTCACAACCTCCTTCTTCCTTACACGTGCTACCTTACTCGCCATTGTTCTAAAAAACATGCATTGAGTTATTAAACCCGAAAAAAAGAACAATGAAGCGATTTGAAAACCTCTAAAACAAGTTACAAGGTAATAATAGAGCAGTAGAGGCATCATTAAACAGCATCCAACTACAGCAATAAGAAGCAGTGGAAAAGAAATTAAGGAAAGCTGAACTGACAATTGATTCATCGTCTTTTCAAGATTATTGCAAGTACGAAATTTCGCGTCAGTTATGGCCATACTTTTGCACTACATACCTGTAAGATATGGACCCATATTACAGAAAATGAAAGTAACCAGAAAGAGGAAGGGCATAAACGATTGGGATAAATTTATGATTCGAGAAGTTTGTCAAGGGGGTATTTGTTGTCATTGTATTCTATCAGTGGAAATCTACACGGTCGAAATCAATTGCAGTATTTGACTTCACGATTCCCACATTGCAGTAATTGACCATATTGGATCTTCTACAGTTTAGGGGGACAGCTTTTAATTTTTCACCAGCGACGCCAGAGCTGGATGGAAGCCTATTTCGCTATGTTATGAAAGGAACACCCCTCAAAGTGCTCCGTCCACAGCACAATATTGTATTTCGCAGGAAAGTTTGATCTGAATTCCTCTACTCTAAACAGGTCATCTTGGGTTAAATCACCCTAAGCGCTCTCAGAGATTCACATGGAAGCTGATGCATGGCGCACTCTGGAGGAACTGCTAAACCATAATAGCCTTCTCAATACATATCATATAGCTCTCTAGGCTCCTTTTGTGAAGCCTTTATGCGACTTTATGTCCAAATTTTGCCAGCTCTGGGCTTTATTCGATGCATTTTTAGTTTTATCGAAATTTTTTAATATTTATCATGTTTTTTTATTTTTATTATTTTATTGTCATTATTCATTTTTACATTTATTTCTCCTTTATTTATTCTTTACGACTTTCCTGTTGTATAGCTTTAACAAGTAGGTGCTCTCAAGGTGGGTGAGGCGCTTTGTTGTGAGACCTCTCCCGAAAAATTATCGAGGATGCAGGGAAGCGGTCAGCTGTTCAGGTGGGCTACGCCACCTCCAAGCTTTGCCTCTGTGAACTCTCAATAGACGATAAGCTCGATCGTTGATTCGCAGAAATCTTTATCAAATTGTTAACTAGGCTGTCTATACGAAAACTGCCGCCTCCGTTGTAGTCGAAGGGGCAAGTGTGTCATAAAGTCCTTTTTCGGCATTTTCTGCTTACTCAGCAGTTTTGACTTGATAGCTTGCTTTGTCTCGGCTCATTTCTTGAATGATGTCGATTATTATTCATTTTTTATATTAGATAACACACCCTGAATAGTTATAGAGCATACTTTTCTCTTACTCCTTCATTATACATCTATTTTGCATACTTTGATGCAAGGAAAACTTGAGCAATTTGCAGGTTCTCTTCGTATGGACCTTATAATCATTTGTTCTTATACGATGCTTTTTGATTCATTACTATTCTTGAAGCAACACTCACAGAGCGTGGTTGTGCGAAAGAAGTATATTTCAAGGGATCCTTGCTGCCGGGCAAAGGATGCGCACAACGGCGATAGGGTCTTACAAGGTCTCGATTTGGCGATTTGGTCCACCATTTGGAAGAGCTACGTCGTTGGTTACACCCCATGACGTTCAACGTGGATTACGCGTAGCGGTTAATTCATAATACACTTGGTTAGTTAGGAGCCATGGTGAGCAAAGCTCGTGAAATCCGTCTAGCCCCGCCCCTCTTTTTTAACTGGTATTTTGTTCATCTTATCGACTGTTTTCTTTGTTTTTTTATTTTAAGTTATTCTCATTCAGCATCAAGCTTCAGACCCTGTGGTCCAATTCAATCCGGGGGTGTTGCTTTAAGAGAACGGCATTTAAATGCATTTGGAAGATGTTCCGAATTGTTCAATATGGGAATTCGTAGCTCATTGGTCCTCTGCGGTTATAGTCCTTTTTCATTTTTGTGAGTGTAGTGCAGTGTGCTATTTATCGCGGCCTTTCTCTGCGTCTACGATCTGAGCCTGAAGTTATCGATTTTTTCAGGTGTAATTTTCGCGACATTTGCGCGTCTCTGACTGACCGAACTTTCTTGATTTATGTGGTTGTCTGACCGTTTTTGAATGCAATTGTTACTTTATTCCCTGCTCGTCCGAAATCTTTAAATTTTCTTTAATAGGTAATGAAATCCTTGGTGCTCGCTCTGCTTGTCTGTGCCTTGTTCGGCACAGCGCTCTCGTGCGACAAATTCCAGAAATACATGGAAATGTTCTGCAAGTATCCCGGCGAGGCCAACATGTGTCTGACGAGCAACGGTAAACTGACAACAAATCGATACTGAATAAAGATTGATAGATGCCAACCCAGGTTTCAGCGCTCTCTTACAAAGCGTCGTGCTGTGCAAGCAAGGGTGGATGCAATTCAAGAGAGTTTCCCAAGGATAAGGTTGGTGTGGTCTTTCACTCGTTCAGTTTGCTCGTCTGTGTAGGGACGCAGAGGAGCAGTGTTGAAGATTGTCTCTCTTGTCTGGCTCCCATCATTTTATTACATTCCCACGTAAAGAGCATTATGGTTGTTTTATACAGCAGCAAAAGCGTTTTTTTTTATTACTATTTTTTATTACACATTTTTTATTGCGCACATGAGGCCTTCATAGTGCAACGTTTTCCTTGTTGTGGTTAAGTGGCGCATCAAACGCGCGCGGTTGCGGCGCGGCCAATGAACTGTAGGAAGAGGTTGCTGGCAGGGCGACCACAATAGCAGAGCGCTGTTTGAGATCAACGTATCCGAGGGTGAAAGCGCAATCACATACCCACGCTGCGTAGCACGACATAAGCTGGCGACCGCAGCGCAACCGCGCGCGGCTGTTCACGTTGTCCCCATATTGCTACACATCGAAGGGGACCGGTACTTTTACACACTGCCCTTGTAAATTCTGAGCTTTTATTCTAGCATTTGTTGATCAGTCATTCCGAAAGCTTCATGATTTTTATTCTTTCAGGTCTGCTGTTTCACACAAGCATGTCTGGATCGCTGCTATCCCGGAAAAGGTCATCGCATGGGAACTGTGTACTGAAAAAGTCTGCTGAATCCTTTTGCAACGGATCTTTTTTTTCTGGAATAAATGATTCATTATGACGATTTGAAACCGGTTCTCGCAAATTCAGCTACCGTATACCTTTTTCGGATCATTCAGGGTATTCAAAACGAGGGATTGATCACAAAAGGCAAATTGCCGACGAGTCACAGCCGTTGATTGACTTATGGTTACCCTCATTTTCGGAAGACGAGAAGAAGGTCGAGTGCAGACCACACATCCATAAGAGACGACGGCCAAGAAAAAAGCGCTTTTTCTTGGCCGTCGTCTCTTATGGTGTGTGGTCTGCACTCGATTTTCTTCTCGTCTTCCGAAATAGAGTATATTGTGTAGTGAGCAAAGTGATTATGACTCTCCAGGGATGAGCCACGTAATCGTTTTCTTTTCACAATCATCAGGTGTTTTGAAGAGCAGTTCGCTTTACAATGAGTTCTGCTGACTAGCTCACTTGTCTTGATGAGCTCCATCACATGATTCATCACCAATGTTACCCCCATTCATCAAAGGATATGGAATAGAAGGCTTGGTTGTGCCTTAGCGGGACTCGATCGTGTCGTCCATGTGAGCTTCATTCCTCGCTTCGAACCACTTCCCCACCAATGTTAAATTCAAAGTTAAATTTACCCACTTGGATCGTAAATTTCTTCTGATCGGGCATTGAACTCTGGATTTCACTCCCGGCCGTTTTTTGTCAAAATCACCATAATTGACGGTAATGCTCGGCATAGTGAATAATGGTCTTGATTGATGAGTCAATTGGCGTATAAATAGAAAATCGGTGGTATAATCAACATTTTCATATTGAACGCTCAAAAGAATCTACCTGCTCTACTCATGTTGGAGAATGAATTTTTTGAATTTAAATTTTATTCACAGTGATTAGGTCAGATTCGTATTTCGGCTGAGAATTCTCGAAGAAGTAGGCATTTTGTGTTCGTCACGACGCGCCATGCATCCGACTTCCATTCAGAATCATAGCAGCTCCTAATGAGCATTTTATCTATACTGTAAATTAAATGCATGTTTAACCAATGCACGAACCATGCTTGCTTTCCTAAGTGTTCCTAGCTTTGGTGAAAGGAAGGCTATGAGATGGGATTCGGGATGCGAAAAGTGAAATTCTTCTCATGGACCGCTAAATGCAAATTGACCCGTGCTTCTTTTTGTTCAGTTTTGGTCAGAGATTCCCTTCCTCAGTGTAAAAAAACTAGATCAGCTACTCTGCAGAATGTTAGGACCTTTCTGCGGAGCTACTAACAGCCGTACGAGAAGGGGCCCAATTCATTCAAATGACACTGAAGCCAGCACCTCTCCAGGATGCGTCCGAATCAGCTCAAGTTTATAGCTGCCGTAAAGCGTCTACTTCCATCCGTGCGAATCCGAACAACGTGACAGTCATTTGCTGATGTGTTTACCAACGTCGACCTGAGGAAGTGAGGTTGAGGGGCTCTTCCAGCCCGCCTGGAAACTGGTATTTGTCGAGCTCATATCTTTGAATTAATGCAAATTGCTCTTATGAGGTGACTAGCGGAGCTTCAGTGATATGCTGCACTATAACTTTATTCAAGGGCCCAACCTAGGCAAAAGTCGTGGGAAGGATTCCTTCCGGTCTGCACTGTCCCCCAGAGGACAATTAGTGATGGCATTCTCGTGCATGGGAGTCACCCCATAAAGGTGCTAGGGCCTTGCAAAGTTAGCTGCAGCAGCTGCAGTGTCCCCTCCGCAGCAGGCTGCTGTCCTGCACTCTCACATCTGCTGCGCTCACTCGTCTTACACCCTCCTCCCGCTCCCGTTCAGTCTCTCGTTGCTTGATCACAGCCCGCCAAACCACGCGCAACGCGCAAAGAAAGCAAACCCTTGACTTTAGCATTTCCGACAGATTCTTTCTCTTTTTTCCTTATTCCCGGTCATTTCGCACCAATACTTTCGTATTTGCGCGCAAGAACCATACCAGTTTGATCCTGGAACATGCTTCTAAGATGTCGGTCAGACTCGGCGATTGCATCGCGATGGACCAGTGCCGGAGCGACGCCGATGCGCTCCATCCCTTGTCATTCGCGATACCAATCGCTCTACGGCGCAGGGACTGCATCCCCGACGTGCAATTCGCACGAGTCTGACCGAAATCTAACTAAACTACCAAAAAAATCGTTGCAAACACCTCCGAGGCTCTTGCTTCTGTGACTCTGCTCAAATGCATCAAGAATAACGCTAATTTAGGACCACTATCTGAAGAAATTCTCGTTTTAGGATTAAAATGCAAGGTCTTCTATTGAGTTTGGTGATTATTGGAGCGACAGCAGACCCTTTCCTGAACACCACGTATACCTTGGATTTGCTAAACAGAGCCATTGAAGATATTCAAGCACAATCGCGTGAGCTCCAAACATTTATTTCTCTTTAAATTCATTCTCATTCGGCGATTTTGGTGCTCGCTACCCGAACCTTATTCTTACCCTGTGTTAGTTATTCGTAAGAGAGCGAAACCAGGGTTGAGTATGGTGATGGGGAAATATTTTCAAACGCAAGCTCTCTTCTCTTCTGTTAACCGAAATACCCTCCCTTTCAAAAACCAGAAAGTGTCGGGTGCAGACCATACACCAAGTGACGACGGCCTCCACAAAATGTAATGTTTTCTGCCAATGAAATGATTAGCCTGTTGCAGTTGTATTCTATCAGTTGTCACTAATTACAACTATCATTTACCAAAATCAGCTATCACTATGAACCACTACTAACCAGATTTACTTGGAGGCCGTCGTCACTTGTGGTGTATGGTCTGCACCCGACACTTTCTGGCTTTTTGAAGGGGAGGGTAACTATCCCCGTATCCTACGAAAAGGAACAGCCAACAAGGCCAAAAATTGAACCTCCTTCCCTCCCCTTTCCAACAGCAGCGAAGAGGGCATGCACGCAGAAAGGGTGAGTTTTTGGGATAGCCAGCCATTGCTGGCTCCTCGCCAGCAGTCAATACAGTAATCAATCCAACTGATTTTACGCGATAGCTAACAATACTTCCCCAACAATACCTATTACCGCCGTGTTTTGAAACGAGTATGGTATCATCACTGTGGGGGAGAACCCCGCACAACCGTGATAGGCCGATGTCAGACTCAGCGAATCGCGCGATTCGCAAAGTCTGACATCGGCCATAGAAGGGATTGGTTCACGCTCCTCCCACCTCCCCCGTCCCAGCCTGCCTTTAGTCATAGCCGAAATGAAAGCTTTCAGAGTATATTCCTAGCTACATCCTCCAGCCACTCCTACAAGCTACTGAAGAGGAAAAACAGCAGTACATCACTTTCATGAACAAGATCCGAGACGGACAAATTACTGTGCAGAACAAGGACGATTTTCGTCAGCACATGAACGAGGTTCATGTTTTTCTATTGAAAAAAAGCAGTTCAAGCATTGGTGCTTTAATTTGTAAGCACATATTCACATACCACTATTTCGGAGAACGAGAAGAAAATCGAGTGCAGACCACACACCATAAGAGACGACGGCCAAGAAAAAAGCCGCTTTTTCTTGGCCGTCGTCTCTTATGATGTGTGGTCTGCACTCGATTTTCTTCTCGTCTTCCGAAATAGAGTATATCTCCTCTTCAGCAGTGATAAGACAGTGGACACACCGGCCGGACATCTTTAGGCCCGGGTTCGAAACCTCGCTGACGTAATCCGTTTTGGGCGAAACTCGGGTTCGGGGGGGGGGGGCACGCGATGGCGCGGCGCTCTGTTCGTCTGCTCCTCCAAGGCTTAGTCCACAGGGACAGTTACTCTTTCGCCATTATGTGGCAGTTTCAAAATACGCGCCATCGGTGACTAAGCCTTGAGAGCGAAAACAGCGCCGCGCCATCGCGTGCCCCCCC